ATTGGAGTATTTTATGGCATTGATTAAAAGCTTATTCGGTAGTGTAAGGAACGGTGCACAATCGGCTCGCTTACATTACCATGTTTTAATTAACACTAACTGCATTAGAAATTAAAAACAAGACACGAAGAATAAGCGTAAATGTCGCATATTATTCAGCTTGCTGTCGTTCTTGACTCGAACATCGCACGAAAATTTTGAACATATCGTTCTGAAGGTTAATTTTCGGTCTTGAATTTTTGTCTCATACGTTTTACTGTTAAGTGAAAATGTAAGCCGCAGGGATTGACAGAAAGAATGCTAGAAGTGCGAACCATTGTTGGCTTGGCAGGATTTTGCCGATTTTTAGGCGATTTTGATGTTAAATTTCATATTTCTCAAAATTGGCCAGAAGGATTTTAATGAGGCTATAATCAAATGAATTCTAATTTTTGGATTAATTTTTTGTTAAAATTTTATCAAAATCTGTATTACAGCAGTGGCTATAGCCTATTATGAGGGAAAGAAAAAAATTCTAACGCTAACGCGTTAATCGGCCCCTGAAGTTTTAACGAACAATCGTATGCACACGAAGAATAATTATTTAATTAATCACTTCAATAGATTGAGCGTCGAAAATTAGAAAAGAGGGAAGTCGTCAAAACTTGATGGTTAGTGTTGTGGCTCTTCGTTCAGAAGTCACCACAATAACAAAACCAACAGCGAGGAAAGCGCCTTATAGAAACTACTTAGTGGGCATTTCCCGGCAATGGCAACTTTTACTCATAGTTACAATTATTCAAACACATGTCATTTAACCAATTCTGAAATGCACGCGAAATCGATAAGAAGGGGTTATTAAAAGGTGGGTTGAACATTAAAGTGAGGAGAGTGCATCACTCAATTTATCTAAAAACATGAAGCGAGTTCGTTTGCAAAGGTTGGTACTATTGTTAGAAACCACGCCTCCTTTCTACCCAGGATTGTTGTAGCCACGCCCATTTCTAAACAAACTGTGCAGCTTTGATTTTAAAACGGTAGAAGTTGTGATCGGGATATCTTATGGCATCGATTAAAAGCTTGTTCGATAGCTTAAAGAACGATGCACAATCGGCTCGCTTACACTACCCTGTTTAAATCAATACTAACTGCACTAGAAATTAAAAACAAGACACGAGTAATAAGCGTAAATGTCGCATGTTATTTAGCATGCTGTCGTTCTCCACTGGAACGTCGCATGGAAATTTTGAACACATCGTGCGAAAGCCTAATTTTCGGTCTTGAATTTTTGTCTCATACGTTTAACTGTTAAGTGAAAAGGTAAGCCGGAGGGATCGACAGAAAGAATGATAGTGGGAACCATTGTTGGCTTGGCAGGATTTTGCCGATTTTCGTGATAATTTTGATGTTTAACTTTAATTTTCTCAAAATTGGCCAGAAGGATTTTAATGAGGCTATAGTCAAAGGAAATCTAATTTTTGGATTGATTTTTCGATTAAATTTTATTAAAATCTGTTCAACAGAAGTCGCGGTACCTTAATGAATGAGGGAAAGAAAAGAAGAAGCGCTCGCACGCGAGCAGAAAGGCCCCCTTGGGGGGGCCTAAAAAGTTTAGAATGGAGTGGAGTTTAGAGTTGGAGAGAACTGCGTTGTTGACTCGAACATGTACGGAATGTTGAGCTAATTCCAAGATATCACTGAAATATAAAGTGTGCAACTGACACACACTTTAAAGTGTTTAACACCGTGTGACATACTTCTACGTGTGCAACACGAGTTTGAATAGTTGGAAGTGTTCAACAGGCGTGTTGCACACTTTTTAGTGTTCAACTTGAGCGTTGAGCTATAGCGCTCGACGGTCAGGTTGAACATTTTAAAGTGTGCAACACACCTGTTGAACACTTCCAACAACTATTCAAAACTCGTGTTGCACACATAGAAGTGTGCCACACGGTGTTAAACAGTTTAAAGTGTGCGTCAGTTGCACACTTTATAAATCAGTGTAATTTTATTTACTTCAATGCCACACATTTGACCTTTTTGCAATCTGAAGAACATTTTGCTTGATTCGAATGAGTTTTCTGGGAAAAGGCACAGGTTGATGTAAAGCGCTACTTACGCTGTGGTACACGGCCCGCAGGTGGTCGTCTAGCGCGCCCTCCTTGTCTTTGTTTTCCTTAGCGTAACCGTTCTCAGTAATAAATATAGGGACACGATACTCGTCCCAGAGCCATAAAACAGCCTCTCTGATACTCCACGGTGTCATCTGCAACACCGTTGCGTTTTAGAGTTTTGCAATTAACTAAAATCTAATAAAAGCGCAACAGCAATTAGTGTTTAAATACAGAAAAGTAGACTTTTAAATACCTTAGTGAATGTTTTTTCCACATCCTTTCGTGGTCCAGTTAGACTGTTGACTAAGACGTCTACAGCTGCGTCTGTTTGCAGCGATCCGTAATCCGGCCTCCTGGTATCTGCCACAACCTGGCCGTTGTACTGGTTGACGCCCAAAAAGTCGATGGTGCCTTTAACATGTAAATATTAGATGCAGGGGGCAGGGTGTGCGCTACACATCATATCTTCGTAAGATACGAAAAACTGAAGTTTTTTTGGTTACTATACTGTATTTTCACTGGTAAAAACAAGCGTGCAAAATGTGCACACCTACGTGTGCATGCACATCTGCAGATTTTGACATAACGCACGGTAAAAGCAAAGGCCCAATTTTTGAGGGAAAAGGGAAAACTTTGAGGGAGTCAGTAACTTTCAGGGATCTTTCTTGAAAAATAAGAACGACCCTCAAAGTAAGTCACAAATTTTGAGGAAGTCCCTCAAAGTTAGCGTGGCTGCTGCTGCACCTACCTCGCTGCTTTAGAGCTTTGTAACAACTGACCAAATTGTCAGTTGGTCAAATTTAATGTGTTTCTCTGAGTTTTAGAGCTGCGGAACTCGTCCTGCAAAGTTTGATGTGTGTACAATTAAAAAAACGAAACAGATTTTTTAATGGTTTACGTGCTTTCAGGCGTACTTGCACACGTAAATCATTCAAAAAATCAGTTTCTTTTCTTTTTTGAGAAGTTTTGACTGAAAATCCAGACTCTTTACTCTGGATCAAGTTTTCAGAGAAATGTGTCTGAATATTTTAAAGTATATTTTCAGACTATACACTGAATCTACAATTCAGAGTTACTGGTATGAATTTTGAGTGGAAAGTCCACCGGAGGCGGACGAAGCGCACCTGTAGCGGACGCTGCTCCCCACGCAGGTAGCCGGCAGCCGAATGGTTAAGGTTGCGGCCTCCGAACCTAAAGGTTGGCGGTTCGCTCCCAACCAAGGGCAGAACCGAATGGACAGATATGTCCTCACCTGGGCATAGCCCTCTACACCCACAGTTGATAAGTTGCTCGCTATGTGTTCATTTTTAACATTTTCGAAAATATTTTCATACCAGCTGTCTGAATTTTCAGACTAAGTGTTATGGTAAGGCACTACTGAAAGTTCAGACCCGAGTGCAGTCTGAATTTTCAGACTACAGGTCTGTAAAAAAACTTCAGACTAAAAGTACTGAAAATTCAGTAAAACTTTTTTTTACAGTGTGAAACCAGGGGAGTTCCTCAAAGTTTTCCCTTTTCCCTCAAAACATGAGTCATTGTTTTTACCGTGCAGTTGGTCGGCCAATACATCTCTTATTTTGACCCTATGTGTCTAAACTCTGCACACTTGAACTGGTACACCAATCGACGTTCAACGCTTGTTTTACCACTGACCCTCACTCTTCTTACCATTGACTAGAGCGCTTTGCTCAGGTGTGAACACTGGCAGTCGAGACGTAGCTCTCCCTTCCAGACGACTGGCCTCGTCCACCACATTGCGCACCTCGTCAGGGTACTGGCCAGTAACCAGCGGTCCGAACGTTGTGCCGAGCGTAAAAAGGTTGTAGCGACGTGCGGCAGCTACGTCCTCGTACCGAGTGGAGTTGGGCCGCGCGGCATAGGAGATGTTGACGATCCCAATGCGTCCTGCCGATACGACAGAAAAGCACGGGTTGTGACGTTTATGGGTAGCTTTGCAATTTCAAAGTAAATGCTTCGTAGCTACAAAGCATACGAATCCCTGCCTATTTGCAAAGTGTCTGCTGCACAGCATTGCTTAGCAGGATTTTTCCAGAGAAGCCCTCGTTTTTGCCATGGTTGTACCATCCTGACGTAAACACTAAATGCATATATTTTAACTCGAAGCAAAGGTGTCCCTTTGTGGGAGAGCACTGTAAAAAGTTTTCGTGATTTTACGAAAAAAAGTGTTACGAAATGCTTCGTAGAAAATAATTTAGGAAAATATTTCGTTAGGGCCAATTTACGAAACATTTCGTAAAGCTACAAAAATATTTCGTAACGAATGCAAGTAATTTTGGGGTCATATGTTATAAAATTTGACAAAATATGTGCAAATTTCATACCCCTTAGAGCTTTGGATTTTACGAAGCAATTCGTAAAATAACGATGTATGGTAATTGGTTAAAAACGAAGTTTTCGTACTAGAAAATTAACCGAGAAAATTTCGTAAAATCACGAAATTTATTTTTACAGTGAGCCTTAGTCCGAGAAATGGTCGAAGTTATCTAATCAAGAGACCTTTCTGTGAGCTAGCGAACTTCTCCTTGTAGAGCCTGTAGACCCGGGCGTGGGCAAGGATCATACGGTGCAGGCAGTTGTAGTCAGCCCCCGGTTCCGTTTTACGGTTGCCGAAAGGTAGCACAGGACCATCCGGGTCGACCCCCACGCCCACGATAGCCTTAGCCAGAAATTCCATCTGGCCAGCGGCTCCACAGAAGACGTAAGGCTCGTTGAATGTCACCCAATACTGCACCTGAAGTCGCGGAAAGAACAACCAGAGGAGGTCAGGTGTTTACATTTCTCATTCACGGGAAACACAAATGTGTCTGCATGCCACTATTTACCTTGTCACCAAAATACGTGAAAGCAATATCTGCATACTCGACAAAAGCATCAATCATGCGGTCATCGTCCCATCCTCCAAACTCTTTTTGAAGTGCTACAGGATGATCGAAGTGAACCAGGGTCACCTGCAACAACATATTTTTATTATAACAGTGATTCTCAAAAAGCTTTCCGATTCCGAAAAGGCGTCTTTGAGAGCCGACGACGGCCAAACTCGCAGTAACGGGGAAGAGACAAGTGACGGGGCAGACATATGGGGCGGACAAAACTTGAAATCGGAGACAGGGTGGTGGCGAGGCGGACACAAAGTTGGTTATGGGGTGACGGGGCGGACGAAACTTGACATCGGTGACGGGGTGGACATAAGAATGGATTGGGAGGGCGGAGGGGGGGG